GAGGGCAGAGAGGGGGAGATTTAATGTAAATAATTTCACTAGACCGGTAGGAATGTTAAGGGATGAGAGCAAGGCCGTGATAAGCCAGTTGGAATCCTAACCAGCTGGCAAGACAGACTTGCTCCCAGGCCATGTGGCATCATATCTCTCATGGGTAAGTTAGTAACTGATATGATACAGCTATCAATTCAATCTGTCGGCAAGTCCTTTCAGGACAGGAGTGAGTTTTTAGGCACTGAGCCCTTGTAACCATTCATGCACTTGTGTTATAGGAGCAAATTAAATAAAGATCCTGGAGATTAAGTAGAGAAAAAAAATAGTCCGATGCATTTTTTTTACTGGAGAAAATTATGAGATTTCTCATGATGTTTTCTGCTAAAATAAAGCAAAATTCTGCCATGTGACTGGGCTATAAAATGATGCAATAAGTATCAAAGGCAGCGAGTACATGGAGGAGGCTTTCTATGGAAGAGCATTGGTTGTGGAGCTTCATCTGTAACTGAGATGTAACTGAGACCAAAAGGGCTTCTTGAATGAATTGATACAATAGGTTGATTTGCTGCAAATCTGTAATTCATATATTAGGATTTTTTCAAGGTGGTCTATGATATTAGAGTAGCATGAAAGCATCTGAATAGTCACTGAAATAGATAGGATCAAAAGTGACAAGAGAAATGTTTGCATATGCTGAATGTCTCCACCTGTGCTTGGTAGTTCTGTTTAATTGGCTAAATTGTTTCTTGTGTACTTGGTTCTGAATTCACAAATATTTATGAGAGGCACCTTTTGATTGACTGTGCTTTTAGAAATGAAGAGTCTGCTGTGCCATGCAATATTGTTTTCCCCTGATAGTGGAGAATTCTCATAAACAGCTCTTCCTTTCTCAGCAGCATGTATCATTTTCTGAGAAATTGCCCTGTTTCTCCTAAAACTATTTTTCTTGTCCTACTACATATAATGTGAAGACAGATAGTGTAGGTGGATCAGGTAGTATTTTGGATTGTTTATTAATGCCGTTCCTTTCTACTTTACCTACTTGAAAGACTGAATGAAAATCAATGTCCTTAAAAACCCTAGGAAAAAAGCACATCTGGAAAAAAAAAAAAAAAAACCCTACCATACAGCATGGCAGCAAATCATACCAAATAATACATATCACTTGACATTTTAAAGATGTAATTTAAGTTGTTATAAAAAGCTGGCTTGCCTTGCCATGAAGATATGAAAGTATTACCTGTTACAGTCTTTAATAAAGGAAGATTGTCTTGTGAAATATCAGACTCTTGCATTTTCTGGACTGGCTCCAATACTATGAAGTGATGGCACCAAGAGTTTCAATACGAAGTTAAAATTTTAAATGTGGAAAAGGATAGAAGGAAAGAGAATGCTACCAACAAAGAAAATGCTACCAACACGACACAATTACTTTCAATGTTTGTTCATCTTTGTTCATGAAAGCAAAATTGTGCAGTGTTGATTACTATACCAAGCAAGGAAAATGAACTCAAGCAATAATGTATAATAAAAGAGGGAACAGGCAAGGGGAAGAAAGTAATGCAATATTTTATTTTTAAGTAAATGGATCATAAGAGAAAATGTATATTTAAGCAATCTATTCAGTTGAAATTCATTTATAGTGATTTCATCAACACATGTGTACCATTACACTTCACTGGAAAGCTGCTGAAATAATGTTTTAAAATTAAACAAAATGAAAGCTTTTGTTTTTAAAAGGGGGAATATAATTTACTCATTAAAAAATCAAATTAATTTTTGGAATGGCAGAGTCAAGTATGGAGGGGGAGATAAGAAGGAATCGTGCTTTATAAATGTCGTGGATTCAACAGAGCATTGCTTCCTTGTTGTGGGAAGCAGTGGCTAACATGAAACTATTCACACTGATTTCTCAGGTCATAAAGTCAGGTGATCCAATCCAGTTCTTTGGCCTTCAATACATTTTTTTTTTTTTTTAATTTTTTGATGACCAAAGATCCAAGAGGCAGGTCTTGCATAAGTAGTTCTTCTAAGGGGTAGAGGAGGACAAGTTCTCTGCTCACGATGGTTTCAGGATTTGGGATTTCTGGAGATGGGAAGGGTGCAGAAGGGACGTGCTTGAGGTGGTGGCCTGCTGATCTGTCAGCTTTGCTGCAGGCCTCCTAAGGATGGACTTCGCTGGGGATGAGTGGCCTCTGACATTTCAGAATTATTGATATCTAATTTTAAACACGCCTGTTCATCACTCATGTTTGGCCTTGTGTAACTGAGCTGATTAACACCTTCTGATAAACTTCACTGGAAGTGCTCTGCAATAGCGAGTTGCTACAATAAGTTGAAAAGAGTTGCCAAAAAATGATTCATACGTGGGGTTTCTGTGCCCAGATCATAAACCTGTCATTGGAACTGAACTAGGACATTGGAACTGAACATTGGAACTTGGGCTAGTGCTGGTAAATAACTCCAGGTACTTTGATTTTGTTAAGTAGTACCAAGGTACTCTCAAATTTGGGAGAAGGCAATGTTATAGGTATAGAAATCAGGCCTGATTTCAGTATGATCATCATTTTTGCAGTGAGCAGGTTTGTAACACAGAATGTCGTGTAATATGTTCTTTATATGGGGAAAATAACCATGATCCTAATTAATGTTCTAAGTTGGTATCTGGCTTCATAAAGRAAAGTTATAGGTGAAAAATACAGGTCCATTGGTAAAAAATAATTATTTGGAAATTTAAAAGTCTGAATCATGCAAGAATGTTTTGATAAAGAGAGTTTCAGTTTTAGATAAGAAGTTTCAGCTTATCCAATGTTCAGCAGAGCTGCACAGTCTTAGTCAATGAGTCAATGTGCCCCAAGAAAAAGGCAATAACCAAATAACCTGCTGTGCATTAAGTTGTCCTGCTTGACAGATCGTCAACTTTGGTGGTAGTCCCTCTTAGTTGCTCAGGGAAAGGACACAAGGAATATGGCTATATATAATCCCTTTGGGTTTATCTTTTTCCTTGAAGTTTCTATAATAATTAAGCATATTTCCAAAGAGAATTGCCTGGGACTCCCTTTGATATTTCAGTATTTTCCCCATTTATTCTGAAAGACAATCCAACTGCATGAAAACGTTACTAGTGAAATACCCACTAGGTGTCATTCTAAGTGGAAGTTCAAAACTCCTCCTGGATAACAGCCAAAAATATTGATTTGGAATTATAATTTTTGCAAAAGACTGAGCAAATTTTTGGTATCAGTTGAAGAAATCTTGTTAATGATTTGCCATTGACCGGAGAGGGGAAAAAAAAAAAGGTTTCCTCTGTGAACATTATCACAGTGAACAAACACGGAGTTCTCACTGAAGCCCTAACAAGGTGTCAGCATCTGCCATTGGCTTGACTGCACAGTCCCATGGCCACAAAATGTAGACCTGGCAATGAAAGAAAAGTTTAAGTAAGTAGTTTTTCAGCACAATGTGACATTTTCATAGCAACAGCCCCAAACAGCAAGTATAAAACCTCTTTTTATATTTATATTTCATATTAGGCCAAAGGATGGTTTCTAGTAGCCTAAAAATATAAATATGTGTCTGTATTATCAAGGATTTTTTATACTAGTTAGTATATAGTTATTCAAACCTAATGAAATGGGGATTAGGYTTCTAATTTCATTACTTAATCCCATCTCCTTTAAAGAACACTCTACCCTGCAAAAGAGTTTGCCTTTTCCTTTTTTTYCTTTCTTTTTTTTTCTTTTTCTTTCTAGAGCTGTAGAACAAAACACACTGAGAATGTGTACTCACACGTTTCCATCTTCCCCAGATRTTACTGTGACTTCTGCAGCTCCCATACAGCCTCCACGTACTTGACCTGGCTGCTTTTCCCAGAGGAACTCAACTTGTGAAATGTTCCCAGCAATTTCTGTGTCGATATAGTTCAGATATGTGCTGCCTGGTTCAAAGGTTCCCCTGACAAAGGAAAAGCATAAAAGTGGTGCTCTATGTCATATAAAACTGAGGGAAAAAGTTGCTACATGAAACTTAGGTAAAAGGGAGATGAGGGTGGGATGCCATGAGAGCAGAAGTTTTGAACAGCGCTGTTATACTTTAGTTGCGTTATCCCAGAATCCCACACAAATTGAAGTCCTTCCTCTCAGGTAGCAGAGGATCACCTGTTAAATCCTCTCAGGTAGCAGAGGATCACCTGTTAAATCCAGAAATACCAACTCCTGTCCTCTCTGCTGACTTGTCATTGAACTCATATTACAAAGTGTCTTTAGATCTTAGGTTTTCATACATAAAATACATCAAATATTTATTTGGACAACATTGTCCATGGACCAGACAAAACATTCCACTGGTCCAGTGTCCTTGCTCAAAAGCTGGATATTGCAGTGGGAAATTATCATGGACATTGCCTGTGTTTGTATCACTGTATTTGCAACCAAATGTACTTCTGGTGTAGACCAGTAAGAGGACAATGTTCCAATACAGGGAAGGTTGGTTTTACAATATTTAAACTGTACTGTTGACAACGATCAATTTACTACATTTAAATTCACATTTACTAGGAAAGACCAGGCTAAGTAGAGAGGAATTCCAGACCCCAGCACAGCTCTTAAGCAAGGTGCAATTTTCCTACTTCTGTTTCTAATTTACTGGAGGAGGGGTCAGTGGTCTTCATTTACACATCATATACATCATATAGCTCTTTTTCTCTCTTCTTGGGGAGGATCACCAAATTGAATCCAGAAGCTGACTGCGCTCAGGCCTTTGCTCCTGCCCTCTATGCTGAGTGGCATCCTCAGAAAAGAAAATGCAGAACGAGGAAGATCAGCCAGCATATTTTGATCACAGTCTGTAGCATGAGGAGTTTTGATCACTTAGCAGCTACTTTTGCTACCAGTGTAAATCAGTGGTAAGGTCAAAGAGAGCAAGATGAGACATGTTAAAATTGTCATATGTGCATTGAATATAATGATGTTGTTAGAGTCATTTTTTTTTCAGCTGTCATGTTAAACTTACTTGTTGACTGTATATTTTCTCTTGATCCCATTAGTTCCAGTCAAGGCTACATCTATATTTCCTTTCAGGGCTTCTGTTGCAGATACTCTGACATATATCTCTTTTCTCCAGCCTTTCAAAACAAAGAAACAGGAACAGAAATCTGTGCAGAGATTTCTTTCTTAATGGTAAAATATTTCATACATTTCAATGTTTTTCAGTGGGGGAAAAGGATTGTAGAAATGTGCTTTGAGAGCAAACAAAATGTCATTCACCATTAAATCAAATGTTAGGTCTGTTGGGTTTTCTAATAATACTAATTACCTTGACACTGGTCTAAATCACAGYTCCAACCTTTGTTGGTCTCCTAGATATGCTAAGAATTAAATCAGCTATAATGGTCGGTATGTACTTCACTCTTCCACTTGGCCTTAGTATTAATCTCATAATTTCTTAAACTTATGAGCCATTTGGAAGGTCTCAAGACGTAATTCAGAGCATATTAGCTCTGAATTATAAAGTGATGTCCACTGGATAACTGTGTTGTTAAAGGTGTATTGAACAATATTGGCAACATTCCCAGAATGGTTCTGATAGTGTTAAGTTTTTCTTTTATACCTTGTCACTGCTCAGAAAATCCTGTCTTCTGAAATGCCTTTCCAAATCAGAAGCAGGATCTAACACGCAATAGTAAATGTTATTTTCAAGTAAACAGGTTTAGAAAGCTTTTGCACTGGCTTTAATTTGGGTTATTAAAAGAAGAATCAATTCAACCTCTTTAAAAATGTATTTGTTTTCATAGATTTTCATAGATAATGGTTTATTTATGATTTTTTCTCATTTCCCAGTTCTGTGGCTGCTTCTACAATAATAGGAGAATAAAACTATATTTCCATATGCTTGCCATTATGACTTGAGCTTTGCAAAAATACTCATATGTATTTTTTCAATGAGAATGAGAATGTAACATTTTGCTTTGAAATTCTGTGCTTTCAGCATAACCTCCTCCCACCTACAGCATTATAGAATTTTCCAAGTCTTCACATAATCAACAAAATTTATCAGAGCTTTTAACTCCAAAGAGGTCACCATTAGTTGATCTGTTTCTCTAGTTTTCTCAGCCTTTCCTAGGTAGTCTTGGAAATGCATATTCCTAACACATTTGAAACTCCAGATTCTATACTAAGCTTCACTTGCTAACTTTAGTGGATTTCTGTAGACAAGAGAGATATTTGTTCATAGGGAATTCAGTGTCACTTTAGAAATGAGCATCATTYGCATTACCCAAATGAGCACTTACGAGCATATGGAGAGAGGGACCCTGTATTTAAAAAAACCTTTTGCTGTTCTTTCCCAGTTTTATGTGAAAACTTATCAGCATAATGACCCATCAGCGGGCATCCTTCTCTGGGACATGGGAAGCAGTCTCCCTGGAGGAATAAAAGGCCATCACAATGATTATCTATTCTAATGACCATTCTCAAAGTAACAAATATTAGGGCATTTCAGCTTTTGTTATATATATTTTTTGAAGCCCAGCTAAAATATAAATTTCTGAAAAGTGAAAAAGTACTTGAGTCAGCTCAACTGTTCAGTATTTATTGATGTGGTGGAAAAAGGAGCTCAGGTGGTCAGTATGCTTAACTCAGTAGATTGAAAATCAGAAAGAATCATCTTGAAAACCTGATTTAATTCCTTGTGTTGCAGCAGAAGCTATGAGTAAATACCTCAATGGGTACTGTACATTACTACCTGTTCTGGAACAGAGGTGGCATGTACCTCTTTCATGAGGCCTATTGAAAGATTGGGCTTGTTTTTTACTGTAGGGTGGATAATCATATTAAGTTTAGGAATGTTTACCCTTGTGATCTCATTTTGGAATGTGTTTTGTCTCCTTATCAGGCCTTATAGCCATGCGGAACTTTTAAACAAAACTAACTGTAGATTGAACATTGGGATCAAGACCTTGATGTTCATAAAGAAAAAGAAAAGGAAAAAAATGTAAATCTTCAGAAGAAATTATTATATTTCAGTTGAAGGAAAACTAGCTTTGCATTTCAGATGGTTRAATTTTGATATTTGGGAAGTACTGTTTTTAAATGCGGTATTGTCTTTGACTCTCTGGGCATTAGATGAATGAAAGGCTACACGGTTATCATCACTTATTTATTCTGCAGYTGACAAATCTTTCTCCTCTCACCACTAGATTGCCCAGAGTTCTGCTTTTCATTTAAATCCTGCGGCAATACTGCTGCAAGGAATAACAACCTTTCAGCAGTGTTGTAATAATTCCTTTTGAAAGGAGATGGAAATGAATCTCAAGTATTTTCTCTTTAGCCAGGCCTCAAGTGCACTGCCAGAATCTGCCCACCAAAAACCCACTTCTATTAGGAAGAAAGACCAGGAAGTGCTACTGAACTTCATCTAAATACTGCAGTTGTTAGTTGTTTGTGCAAATGTTTAAGGTCTTAGGAAGCCTCAAGGCTGTGCCTTGTGACAGCTCTTGGTGATGGGTACCCCTAGAACAATCAAGCACTGGTCTCAGGGGACCTCCTTTAGTTTTAATCAAGAGCTTAAAATTTTTTGGTCCCTCTCAGATGTTTGTTGTTGACACTTACTGATGCAAAATGTTGGTATGTTTCACACTGATACCCAGCAAATCCATCTGGAGTGATAATGCTTTCAGCATAATACTGGAAGCTTCTTTTATGTCCACATCCAATAGATCTATATTCTGAAGGGGGGGGAAAAAAAAAAAAAAAACAGTTTAAGAAAGATTAAAGCTATTCATTAGCCGTAAAGTCCAMACMAAAAAAAAAAAAAAAARGCACATATTGCTCTTTTTTGCTCAAAATATTTATTTGTACAGTGAAGTCTCTCTTTTAAGTAAGAATTAAAAAGACTTTTAAAGTGTAAAGTTTTTGGTTTATGGTAGAAATTATGCAGTTAAACACACATTTTAGATGTGGGAGTGCTAGAATCAGATTTGCCTATGTGCTTCTCTGTGCTCATACAGAAGCTCAAAGAGCAGAGATGCTGAACTCCTGCAACCTCCAGTCCTAGTATGTGTACTGCTCTGCTTTTAGTTCAGCATTTTTCCTTTGATAGGCTTTTCCTTTGATATTTTAAAGACCGAATAATTCATAGGTACAGCATTTGCAAAGCATATGGTAGTGGCCATGAAGTAGTTGTCATTTGCTTAGCATTATCACAACATGGTATTTTCTAAACCATAATTTCCACTCATTTCTAGAATTAAAGATAATTGTAGTAATTGTTGTAACTTCAGTGGGTTTTGCTGTTTTTTAAGCTCTAAAAAATTTGCAGTCATTTGACATGGGTGATGTTGTGAAATGCTGTAACTAGCAAGATGTTTGGCAGCTTGTCCTTGATTTTGTCAGAATTACTTGAAACACGTACATTTTCCCTTCAGTGTGAAATTTATAAGCTCTCAGTGCTGGGAAGAAGAAAGTGCTTTTGGGACTCTATTTACAGGTCCTTTGCCACAGCTATTGTCTTCAGTGTCTCTGAAGACTCTGTTTTATCCAAGCACAATGTATTGAAATTAGACTGYATAAAAATAGGCTCTAGTTTGTTGCAATGGGGAAAAGRAGCCTCATCCAATTAGAGTGAGGTCCTGGAGGCATACAGGTAATTGTAAGCTGGCAGACACTATAGTGAAATCAGAATTTCATATACAGTCAATATTTATACACTTTAAAGGAAGACCGGAAGATACACACAATTGATATATATTGATATATTGTATTATTTACCTAAAAAGAAGAAAAAAAAATTGAAAGGTGCTTCTGTCTCTATTTCTTGAAAATGATATGGCTCATGAAGGCTCCCTCAGTACGTTTACTTTACAATTCTTTCTTTTAACCTAACTCAGAAGGGCCTGTGCTTTTAACTTTAAAAATGTGAGATCTCATGATTGGCTTTCCTTGTGCTAGTGCCACAGTCACTTAACATCTTTATAATGGGATCATAATCCTCCTTTTCCTACTATATCAAAAGCTAAGGAGGGAAGTAACTAAGTAGTATTTCTAAAGCACTTTTTAGATAAAAGCAATACATAAATGTAAATATTATCAGACAGGAGATATGTACAAAGTAAGGTTCAAATGAGAGGCTGGAGTTAAGGTTGTCTCTATTTCTAGGATCTGCATGAATGCTGTCATCCATCTGCTCTTGTTCAATAGAGCTGGAGTTTTATTTAACTGCAGAACACTGAAAGCAGCATAAGTAAATGACTGTGGAAAATCTTTTTTTTCTTTTTGGTAAGAATTGAAATATGTGTTTTGTGGTCAAAGTTGAAAGTCTTTTGAGTCCAAAAGAGTTTGAGTTCAAACAATCTACAGTTTCTATGTGAATCCTTCACAAGTTACATGAATAAAAATATTTTGAATTAATATATATTGATTTTTTTAAACAGAATTTTAAGAATTTTTCTTAAAAAAAATGAAGGCGAAGAAAGAGAATAGCTCTTCGTGTTTGAGGAACATGAAGCAAGTTAGGAGATTTAACAGAGGCTTTAAAAATCACTTTCATATCACTTCATGATTGCGTTATACTAGTTATTCCCATGTTAACTTGACATCTCAKGACTTTATACATGCAGGATCTGAAATTAGCATTGAGCATTGAATATGTTCACCTGAAGAAAACAAAGGTCAGCAGAACAGTCTTTCAGTCTGCTTTCATCAAGCTTTATCTTAACCATCCTTTATTTCAAACGGTAGCTTGTAATGAGGCTTTACTTTAAGATGTATTTACCTCTCATAACATCATTGACATTCCGAACTGCAGGAGGTGCACGAAGCTCCTGGCATCCAGGCATTTTCTTTCCACCATTTGGGTAAAAATCCAGGTGTCCACAAGTCTGAAGAATCCCTGGAGCTGAAATATGTAAAACGTTTCAAGGGTGTTTCTAAAGGCGATGGCAAAATTCAGTGTAAGTGTTGTTTCCTATGCAAAACTTACCAAAGTCAAAGAACAGATGGCCAGCATGAGTGTGAATTATATCAACAAAATTCGCATCTGAAGGGTCCAGCCTAACCATGTCTGGTGTATACTGGAAAAGAGGCCCAGCTGGATCCAAACCTAAATAAAATGAAGATGTGTGTGCCTGTGTGAACAACAAGGTATGTGCATCTCGTCATATTCAGTGTGCATACAGTGAATGCCATTGCATTTCTGCTGGTACTCAGAAGACTGATGGGAAAATGTTTGGATTATTTTGGGTGAAAAATGTCAGAAAGAACGTGTGTGGTAGGGGCAGGTTGTGCATTYATGAAAGATTTTAAGATATTTCATTTGGTCAAAATTCTGTTTTTAGTAGCAGAAAAACTTATTTGAAAGTTTTTTGTCTCTTCAGTGTAAGTAGGCTCTTCTGTGGGACAAAACAGTGGAATTCACATCCTGCTTCCCTAAAGTACTTTTTTCACTGCATAATGTATATACAGCTCAGTGATAGCCATATACATACAGACAGAAGAACTGACTGTAGGAGAAATGGATGTAGAAAATACTGAGACATTAAAAAATACTATGAATATCTTATTACGCTGCATCTCACTGCATAGATGTGCAGCTAATGACCACCTTCTTTTTGAGGGTACCCAAGGCTACTTATTRTATTTTCTTAACAAATATAAGTTTTAAATTTTTCGTTTCAGATTTCCAATTTTTTGAACCGTTGAAAAGTCACGATAGTGTGGATTTGAAGTAAAAAAAAAAGTTGATAAAAAATTTCTAATGTTTTATAAATCATTTACTCCACATATAATACACTCTTTAATATCACTGAAAATCAGAAGTAATATGCTGAGATTTGTTGTGACCTATGCGAAGTGACTGATCTTTAGCTATTGAAAGGACAGTGGAACTATTGTGGCTCTGTTCCAGTCTGGCATGTGACATGGCTTCATTTATGTGTGTTTATGACAGCCATATATCACTGCACAGGACAACCTCTGTATAGTGCAGTTTGTCCTGTGGGTTTGTTAGGCAGAAGCTGCTTCTTCAGCCCTTCTGTGTTGGTTCCTCCTGCTGTGAGAGTATGAAGCTTTATCCAATGTAATGGCTTCACTACCTGTTATTCTTCCAATGCCAGGTTTCCTTCTCCCGGCCTCCCCTGCAGCATGTGCTCCAAGACTGTGGCCAATCAAATGAATCTTGGCAGGAGAGTAGCCATACTCCTTCTGTGAAGATACAGGGGGAAAAAAARGCTTGCTAAGTTGGTGACACAAGCCTGAGGCACTGAGCCTGAGGCCTCAAGCTCGACTAGGCCATGATTGGTACCTCAGTTCCTGCAGAATTAGAGACCTTTGATAATCGGCTGCGCTATTGAGGACCTCTATGCTTTCTGATTGCTTTGCAGCAAGGCGATACCCTTATATGTCCTTTGTCATATAGACTATACACCAGTGACTGTGTCCCACAGGTTCCTTTACCTCAAGGAGGTTCACCAAATACATCAGCTCAGCCCCCACCACGCGGACGTTGTTAACTGCTTCGGTGTACAGGCCACTGGAGCCGCCTCTCCAGTCAGTCAAGATGCAGTTCACGTCTTCCACCTGAAACATGGACTGGTGGGTGTGAAAACAAGACACAAGAAGGAAACACACATGAATCACAACTCCTCTAGGTCGTATACAAACAACTCATTTTGCTTTAACTCACTTTAGTTATACAGGTTTGATTTTGTATCCCACTTGTAGAGCTGTCAAATTGCTTCTGTCACAGAAGTCTCTTTTGAGCTCCACTCCTGCTGCCTTCTCTGGGCATGTGAAGTTTATGGAGCAACTTATAGGTAGGCTATGTAGACTCATAGTCTGCAAGTCTATGGAGACTAGTTTGGAGTAGTTGAAAAATTAGTTATCCTTGTCAGGGAGGTTGAACCCAAGTGGTCAAGAGTGGGGATAAACCAAGGATATTTACAGCATGAAGAGCATTTAGCCAGAGACTGTTTCTGAAGGAAAATTATATTGATTCGAAAGTCATTTTTAGTAGTGTGTTTTTTCTCCTAGGAAATCAAGCCTTTCCTTATTTTCTTTTTCAAAAAGTAACAGTGTAAAATAATGCCATATTCTTTGACCACTTATGTGGCTAGTAAAGGTACATCTTTAGAATTTTTTCTTCCGAATACTCCAGAATCAACACAAGGAGGCAGAGTGGAGGTAGTGATTGGAACACTTGTATTAAGATGCGCAATAGYTTGTTTCAGTTCTGTTTCCGGTCCCACATATCTTGGTTCACTTTAGGGAATCAGATTCTCTAAATCCCGGTACCACAGTTAGAAAAAAAATGATAGTTTCTCTAGACCTTTACTCTCCAACTTTATTCTCTAAAATTATATGCTTCTGTCATCTGAAATGATCCACAAACTTGTGTTGAGGTGGTTGAGTAGTTCAGTTCCCCAACTGTGTATTTTTAAAATAAAATACTCCAGTTAGCCATTGATATCAGGAAATATTTGATTTTTCATTTTGAAACAATTACATTTTGAAATGTACCTTTATCACCTGAACAAAGTGTTTATTCTTATTATATCAGTAGTTATATTCTTACTATATCTTAGTTTAATTTAACCTTTGCTTGAGTTTGGAAAAGTGACTTTTGTATTTAATTCTGTGAAGGAATTGAAAAAAAAATCAAATAATTATAGCTTTCACTATGAAGGTGAATTCAGCAATTAACAGGAAGTTGAAGTACACTGTAGTTGTACCTGAGAATGGCAGACACGTGAAACTCACTTTGCTTCTGAGTTTTTTTCCTCCTATATTCTTAGTATTAACAGGAAAGCAGAGGTGTAAATTTTAGCAGGGAATTCTAAGCCAGTTAATGGAGGAGGAAGGAGATATGAAATTTCAAATGCAATTGGAGTGGCTGTCAAATAATAGTCACTTCATACCCTGCACATATCTGTTATCCAGGAGAGGTCTTCTCCAGCCAGATAGCCATGGATAATGAAGCGAGTTTTCCTGTGTGCTTGAAAATTTGAAGCTTTGATAGTTGAAGGATCTATAGCGGAAATTTTCTGTGTCAAAACAAAACAAAACAATGTGAATGCTCTGTACCAGGGAGTGTGTTTGTATAGGGATAGAGATCTCAATGGTAGGAGCGTAATTCTCAGCTCGGAAGACATGGGACTTGTTCCTGACTCTTTAGCTGCTTGGTTAGATATAGCAGTTAATCCTGTCCACACGTGATTCACTTCCTCTCTTTAACTGAACTGGCAATACTGACAGTCTTTGCACAATGCTTTGAGATTTGCTGGAACAACATACCTCTTAAGAATGAGCATTTATCAGAAGTAGCCAATGAAATACAAAAGTAGTATCTCTAACTTACTGTGGAGGTGACTTTGAATTTTTCTTTCTTTTTCTTTCCGATTTTGCCTTCTTTCTCTTTGAAGGCAAGAGCTTTATCCATAGGTTTATTTTTATTTTATCTTAAAGAGATTCCAAACAGTATGAAAATAAACCCAACAGACTGTATATAGAGTTGGGTCTATTGAGAGAGGTAGCAGTTTATTTTCTTAAAAAATTCTGAATACTATTTTGGTTTAAAACTTAGACTCTATTTTACTTTTTGTTATGTATAAACAATTCAGTATCCTGAAAGAGAATGCAATGTGCTAATTAACTTATGTCTCACCTGCAGTGGAATTTGATTGAAATTAAAGAACACACCAAACAGGCTGTCTCAGTAAGAGCTGTTGGACTAATTATGACTTTTTCTAAGGTGATTCATAAAAAGGAGAAATCATTTAAAATCTCCACTGTTTCTGGTTGCCATTTATTTTACTGAAAGATTTGGAGCCTTTGCCTAAGCAAACAACAACAAATCACATACCCATAATTTTCTGTATCATTATATTCTTTTTCCTCGTTTTTTCTTCAAGCAAAGCTAACACTCTCTGATGGGTTATTTACCAAAACAATCAACAATTCCACAAATCCATTTGTGCTATGGCTGAGCTCAGGCCAGACACCTCCAGCATCTCAAGAAGGTCAAGTACATGTTCTCATGTAAGACTTTCCCAAGGTCTTTAAAGGAAAAGACTGAGACACTGCTCATATCTTTCAATATATTTTTATTTACACAGGGCTGAAAAATCCTTTCAGCTGCTTAATAGTTGCTCTGTCATTGTCCATAGCTTCCTTTCACTGCCACTAATTTGGAAACGTTGCAGATACCCTGTCCCTTTTTTTTTTTTTTCTCTTCCATGTACCTTCAGTCTGTTGTGGCTACCCAGACCCAGCTGTGGAGATACATCCAATTGTTCTTTGACTTGATGCATCTCTATGAGGAGCTAACCTGACTCTGATCTCTGCAAGAGAAACATCCAGGTCATCTCTATGCTGTACCTCACCATGGCTTTTGCTTTGGATTTTTGCTCACCACTTTCAGCCCCATTCTTGAAAAAAATGTTTAATATTTGCATCCTTTATTTTTTACCTCCTTTAATTTTTTTTTTTGATCATTTCCTTCCTTTTTCCACATGTGCTTTCATTCTTTTCTGCATTTTTTTCTTTAGGATCTGCTTTTTCATTCTCTATTTTTTTTCTTCCTATTTTCCATTCTTTCTCTACTGAACATTGCTACTTCCTTTTACAATCTTCTCTCCTATTACYTATCTGCTATTAGGGGTCACTGTTGTTCAGGACATAAGCAGAGATTCTGAGAGCAATACAACCCTGAGAACTGGGTCTTCTACCAGAATATGTTTCTCAGCTGGAGACACAGAGAACCAAAATTGACTTTCCCCATTCCTAGCTCTCGCAATATAATGATATATGACGGAAATGGAATCTGAGCCATTTGCTTATTATGGGAGTGTATATAAAATGTTCCAATACCTCAGCTAACTTCTGTTAGAAGTTAATTAATACGTTATTAATATACCTGGTCTGTAAAATGGCTGAAATGAAGAAAAATGAGATAAAAGAAACTGTCATGCTCTGTTCACTGAGAGTATAAATAGACTTAAGACCTTTCCCTGCAGATTTGTGAGCAAAAATATTGAAGTAAAAAAACAAGCTATATTATTTCTTGAGTACATTTTCTAAGTGTTTAAAACAAGTCAATTTCTTACTTGATATTGCATGATGTTGTCTCTAGTGTAAAGGAGGAAATTGGTATTCACAGCTTCTGGAGAGCTAGGCAAGCCCGCCAGTTGTCTTTCTGGAATCCCAGACCAAGGAGGATCATCCGTAAAGCATCCAAGCCTTTTGTAGCAAACTTGTCTTCCTGGGGAACCCAGAGAACAAAGCAACTTTTGCTATAGACTTAGAGCAGTCCTTCAAATTAGAGCTAATGTTTCTGGAGTTTCTGTAGTGTTATTTCACAGACAACTCATGAAAGAGTAGAAAGAAACCAAAGTATTAACATACATATCTCTGATGACCCTACATCTTACATTAAACATCTCCTTTACCATTTTATCATCATCATATTTTAGAGGAAGCAATAAAGTTGAATTTTAGTGGAAGCCTAGAGATCAGAAGTGTAGTCAGTGCCTAGACTAGCTTCCCACTTTCTACTGTGGCTTTAGCGTGACAGAGATGCAAACCTGGCACAGGAGTGTTGCCATTAAAACGTCATCCTGACCTACCACTGTAGCCCTCAGCTAAGCTGTGCTGCATCACTCCACTAGTGATTTTGTTATTTTCAAAGAGTCTTTCTACTGATGCCACCGATCTTTTGGATTTTATCTCTTTCCTTGGGTTGTCTCTGTATGTCTATCTCTACTGATCCATTCTTTCCCATCTGTGAAGCCAGGACCACTTTTTTGTTTCCTGTCTAGCAGTGTGAAGTGTAAATGTTGTCTGGCATGACAAARATTTTGCATGTCTAGTAGTTCTGGTGTAAGCTGAACACAACTTTTATTGCTCATTGTCTTTATCTGTCTTTATACGCATCTTACCTCTGGCTGCATCAAGAAGAAAAAGAGTAGTAATCCATACTGCAAACATCTGAAGCAAATAAGAACACAGCTCAGATTTAGTGAAAAACAGAATATGGGATTCAACTAAGAGCTGCATAGATCCATTAATTGACATTAATGGCCACAGCATAATTCAGACATTTTATGAATTAAACCTTGAAGAATCAATATTTCCTTAAAGATTTAGATAAAAATACCTTTGGAATTCTTTTTGTTTGCAATGCAGTTTCAGAGTATATAGGATATCCTCTTTTTTTTTTCCCTTAACACTGCAATTTATGGGCAGACAAATGAGATCTTAGCAAACTGCAACAGCATATTTTCTTGAAGAATGGAAGTTTCTTTTACTCTTTAATAGAAAAGTTGCTCAGATTTACTATTCAACAATTGTAGTCGAAAGAACTAAGAATCATGCTTAGTTTATATTTATAAATATAAATATCGGTATTTATATAGATATAAATGATATAGATATCTATAATTAGATACAGATATTTAGATAGATATAGAAATAGATATAGATATTTATAGTAGGATAATCAAGAAAAATCATTTTGATCTTTGTTATTAGCCATGCATGTTTATCGGTGCTGATGTGCTTCATCACTTACTAATATGCTAATATGTCAGTATCAGAATTCATGGAACCACTTATGTACTTCGAGGTAAACGTGCTGAGATCTTTCATTGGATCTGAATCCTAATCAGTTGCTGAGCTTGTTCAGATGCCTGCCATGATGCAAGTTAGTTCTGATAATCCTATGCAAATTAACAAATGCAATATTCCATATGCCTTTCCAAGGTAAGCATATAGGTCAAATTCAAGGCTATTTTACCAGCTGATAGGGACACTAATTTTAAAATGTTTCTTGCATTCCTGAAAATATTAAATTCGCGTTTCTAATTTAAACACATAAAATATGGATTTATATCTGTGGATTTGCTATTATGTTTCAAAATCAAAACAAAGCATTAAGAAAATTTAATCAGCTTTCTAGAACCCAGACTCAGTATTCACTTTCATAGTTCATGAGTTCTTTGGTGGATGGTCTTTGGAACTGAGAGCAAAACACATTAATACATTTTCATCAGCTGCACAGTACAATTTTACTCTATTGAGAATTCTTTTGTGTAAATCAAGCCTCAGACCTTGATTTCATTGACAAAAAATAAAGGGTCAAAATGTGCCTTATATTCCCCAAACCCTAGACAAAAATACTGTACTATAATAAAAAAATAGTTTTAATAATGCCAGAAAAAGGACACTGAGAGATCTTAGGCAGGGAAATAATTTGAAAGAAAGATTAGAAAATGGCAGATTTTACAGGAGATTAGCAGAGTAAGGAGAATAGGTCTAATGACATCTACCCAGTGCCCTTTCATTCATTCACTCTCTGCTGCAAAAGAAGTAATGAATGTCTTCCAAGTGTAGTCTTATTGCTACTAAATTTATCATTAAGCTAAAGGAAAAAGGAAAGATCAATCAAGTGCCATTAGTTAGTGACATATTGCATAAATGCAGATTGGTTTTATGACCTGCTTATCAAACATTATTTAACAGGGGGGAGAGAAAAAAAAAAGCGCACTCATTTTGACATTGAAGCTGAGCGAACATTCTTACAAAATTCCTGCATGTGGCCCTATTTCTCTAATAAATCCTCCATGGATCCAATCCCGCACCCCCACCATAGCCCTCTAAAGACCATAGACCCTCTAAAGTGCGCTCTGGAGCAAAGTGCTGACCAAGTGGAACTCACTGCAGGTTCAGATGCATCCTGCTTCCAGCTCATCATCTCAAGGCGCCTAACGCCTTCTCATGATGCCCCTTATTTGTGTTCCTTAGATGTTCTTGGCTCCTSTGCATCCCGCTTTACCTTGGCAGGGCTCGGTCCACCTCTCAGGTGATCGTGGCAGCCTGGAAGCTTTGCAGAAGCCCCGTCAGCACAATCTTGTGCCTTCTCTCCAGAGCCAAAAAGGCTCTTCTTGCAGCCACCCCTTGACTTGTAGGTTCCCAATAGCATCTGTCTTTCTTGGCTAGTGCCAAGAGAGGTCTCATTGGGCTAGGAACTCTTCATCTAAGATGACATAAACCAGTTCAAACCAGTTTTTGTAGGACTCCACCTATTTAATCTTTATTGCAAAGTTTCAAATAGGATGGTATCGTCATTCATCTCCAAAAAGGCCCGAGGAGGGTGCTGTAAACACTGCACAAACACACGGCCTCCCAGGGTTCCAACAGGGCTGTCTTTATCGGCGGGGTTGTTAGGTATTATACTTAGTCTCAATTCAAGTGACCATGCAGGGAGGCTAGCAGAGCTGCTACTCCAAGTCGTAATAGCAAAACCAGCCTTCCTGCAGCTGACTCTTCTCACAAATAATGTATAGSTTTAAGCAAGATTTTGAAATATGTATTTGAGAGTGGAGTCTGCTATTACAACCTGAACACCCAAATAAGTATTGTGGGACCTGTTAGCAAGTAGACTTGCAGTATTTGAGCTACAGTCACTAGTAAACATGAAGGAACGTACTGCTCTTTTCTGAATGCATTAACTACTTGAATTGTCCTTGGCTTAATGCTTGTTAGGAACATACATATGGTCCTCTCAGTTCACAACCTGGCCTCTTCCACAGTAATTTTGTGTAAGGATCCATATTCTTCTGAAGTTCAGTACTCACTTGCACTGAATTAATTACCCATGACTGAAAATGTTGGCATTTTTTAATGTGAAAAAATATAAAAGGCAACAAAAATAAGTAAGTATGAAATATTAAAAAAAAAAAAAAAGAAAAGATGCAATCTGTCATTTATTACATGGTCATCTTGTAGTTTTGTCTTTGGGAAAAAAAAAGGCAAAGGCAGAAATACTATTAAACAAGGGAGAAGAGTGCCTTGGGCACATTTTCTCTACAAACTATTGTACCATACCAYGCCATCATTATAATTAAACTGTATTAATTGTAGTAATTTTAGTTTTAAATATGTTGATAATAATGTTATTTCACATCATACATGTTTATCATACTACTATGCTAACACTTCTGATCAGGCTTTCCAAGAAATAGTTTTTTCCAGTATTTAGATACAAAATATATAATTTGCATCTCAGCATTTTAATGCTAGAGCTTTTAAGTATGTTTGGCAGCACATAAGACAAGGGTGTGCAGAAAGGGGAGACTCCCTTTGGATAATCCCTTCCAGGGCTTGTCGACTCTTTGCTCATATCTAGCACATATGAGTATAGAACTGGCTTAAAGCAATTTCTAAGAGTCTGAGATACAAAAATATTTCTAGCTTTTTGCTGCTTAGCTGCTCTAGAAAGATTAATCACTTCAGGTACAGTTTGTAGAAACAAAGTGGATTCTCCAATGTTGTGCTCTGCGACTAAYAAAACCTTGGAAAGGAAAATTGTTGTGTAGCTTGTGTTTTTCATGTCCTATTACCTAAGTTACTCTGGAAAACTGCTGAATTATTCATGTTCAAATTAATTAAGAAGAGCACTTTAGTTACATGAACAGTTCATGTAACTAAAGATTGCTGTCAATTGATCAGTTAACAAGTCATTAGTAGAACACAAGAAGGAAAAATCCGTTTTCTTTTTGTAAAAAGTAGTTAAAAAAACCCGTAAGATTATCTACTTCTAAGTTACCATAAATCATCTTGGGCAAAAAGATTAAGTGAAAGAGGTGCTTGGATCTGTGATACAGTACCAGATTCAAAGGGAGTATTTATACCTCTAAGCACTTACACACAGAGAAAAGTTAATTCATTAGATTTCAAAGGGTCCCACATAAAATTAAGAACTAATCTATATTACATGTTTCTGATTTAATTTTTTTGTATAAAATATTGGGCCAAACTCTCATTCCATTCTGTCATCATAGCTTCTTCCCACTTAAGAAACAGTGTTTATTGCAGAAGCAGATCACTCAAGCCATTAAGTTATTCTGATTAATTCAATAAATTACTCCCATTAATTCAAATTCACAGACTTTACCAATAAGCAGAGTATTTTGGTATATATGCTCTCTGGGAATTCTGTGCACTGAGAAACCTAGCATTATCCCTTGTAGTTCCCAATCCCAAAGCCGACCTCACCCATTTGCTGCAGTATGKGCTTCACCAACAGTCTATCTGTGAAGCTTTTAGATCACTTACAAGATTTACTGACTTTGTCAAGACATAATTAGGACGATAAGGTGTTGAAAGGGTTTTAATTTTACCTGTGATGACAGGATCACTGGCTCATGTCCTAGATGCAAAGATGTATATTATAAAATTGTAAGTAATTATTTCAGCTAGTACCAGCATCAGTCAGAGTTTAACTTCTATAGGCTTTTCACAGAGCCTATAAAGTGGTTATTTTGAGAAATCCTTCCTGCCTTTTAGTAATGTGAGACACCACATCTCTCTTCAGTGCTTAAGACAAGGTTACTGGGAGAGCAGTGGGGCATCCTCATCTTTGTAATGAATTAATCAGAGGATTTACTTCATCTGACAAGCATGAAATAGATTTTCTATGCTCATTTACTAGTGCCAGGAAAGCTCCTAGCTCAGCAACGTTGCTAGATATCAAAATTTCCTTGTCAGCTTCTTCTAGAAAACTTTTCCCTTTAATTTGGTTAACTGCTTCCGTGTCAGCTGGGGACTATGTAGGAAGGAGCAACTCACAAAGAGCTGACTCTCAATTCCTTAAAAATGGTGGAGCATTTTCCAGCTCTTGGCAAATGAGCAATTTGTCTACAAATTTCTCTACCATGAATTTTTCCAAGCTTTTYTGGAACTTGCATGCACTTTTAGTATATGCACCATCCTGTATCAAGCAGTTGCACTTAAGAAATACACAACTGTGAGAGGGGTTATCTTCTATTTGCTTGGAGCAAGTGTAACTATTAGCTTCATTTCATGCCATCTACTAGCAGTATGGACAAGACATTGGCCAAGTCCTTTTCTGTTTGCCCTYTCCATATCATAGGTTTATAGACCTCATCCATGCCTTCATCCCTTTCCCAGGCTTTTTATAACGTTTC